AAACTCAGGCCGGCCCGTGGCTCACTCGGGAGAGGGCGGGGCTGGTAACACCAAGGCCATGGGTTCGGATCCTATATAGGGATGGCCGGTTTGCTCACTGGCTGAGCGTGGTGCTGATGATACCAAGCCAAGGGTTACGATCCCCTTACCGGTCATCTTTAAAAAAAAAAAAAAAAGGCTGCTTATAAGAACATAACCTGCCAGTGATGCAGGTGAGTTGGGGCATTCATTAACATTTTTGAACCAGTAGTGCTCAACAGAGGGCTTTTACTGAGCATAGAATCTCTTAACTCTTTAGGCATGTGGTTCAAAGTACAAGGTACTGAGCCAGATTTCCTAGATTCAAAGCCTGACTTGGATTTGCCACTTACAAGCTGTGTGATCTTAGATGATTACCTCATGTCATCATCTGTGAAACTGGAGAAATAATAGTAATTGTGAGAATTTAAGTGAATATTTAAAGCAATAAATAAGTACCTTGCACAAGACCTGTATAAATAATTGCTGTCATTACTATCACTTTGTGTGTGTGACATAAAAATTTCATTGTGGTAGCTTTTGATATCTTTCTGAAACATGCATTCAGTGTAAATGAAAAAATGGTATAGCAATTTTATTTTTACTTGAAAATTCCAGTTATCATAGTATGATTATCCACAAATATCTGGCAGTAGCATGAACTCACTGGTTTTAACAGGAATTTGTGGAGGGTGACCGGGAGGTCATGGGGATTATGGAGAAGGGAGACCTGCATTAACATTATCTTTCAACTCTTGCCACATTCATTTATGTTACTTATAAATTGTAGGGATCTAGTACTCACTTTCCCATTTCTACTCTTTATGCCAAGCACATGGCCTGGATCACATACTCGTGAATGAATGAGAATGAGTAATTCTGGTTCAGACACTTGTGTACTAATGATCATTCATCATCTCAGATGCCCCACATATCCTAAATCTTTTCCAAGGGTCATGAGAAGTGTCTGAGCTGGTAGGGCTCAGTATAGCGTAGGTCCTGTTAGGAGTGCTTTACAAAAGTGTTAGAACCACAGAGCTTCACTTGTCAGCTTTTAAGTAAATTAGCTGATTTGCCAGATGCTGTGTTCCCCTGGGACCCTGGATTTTATTATTTTAGTGTTGTTTTGCCAAATGGTGAAAAGTGGACATTAATTTGAACGTTTCCTTTTTTTAATTGCTACTGGTATAATTGGGTAGGAAATTGTTTCCCCTTTCGAGGAGGGAAATACCTCACATTCCCAGGCCCTTAGTCTGTATGTATTGTTGCCCTGCTTTGCAGAGGATAGTTATTTTTACCCATGGTTCATTTTTGAGATACTGTTAATTACAAACCTAGGATTTCTCCCACAGTTTAGTTTTCAGCAAGGAATCTGGCTGGGAGTGGCACATCTTGGTGTGAGTCCTGGTATGCAAGGAAGAACTATGTATAGTTTGTCTAAAATTCTAGAAAAATGGTTAGAAAAATTGCACTAAGGCAAGAAAACCAGAATGTCTGTTGTAAAACAAGGTACTATTTATGCTTTTCATGCTTGTTCATGTTGCATCATACTATACTGTATTAAGGAAATTTATGAGTGTTCAGTGGGATAATAGGTACCTCTATATGATCTTAACTCTTTAGTTTTTAATTCTAAGCTTTGCTCTAAAGGCATGACCTCCTGTACTTCCCTCTTTCATACATTCTAGGAATAATCTTTTTTTTTGGCCGCTGGCCAGTACGGTGATCTGAACCCATGACCTTGGTGTTATAACACCTCACTCTAACCAATTGAGCTAACTGGCCAGAGCTTTCATACACTCTAAAAGGAAGTCTGAGTGTTACTTACCCCATTCCGATTTGCCCCTTTAGATCTCTGCTGCCTCCCAGGAATACTTGCCATTGTTGCACTTAAGTTTTCTCTTAAAGGTCAAAATAAGCATCAATGAAATCGCCACCTTTTCATGGGGTTTCCCTTCATTCCATCACAGTCAGGGCTCCCTGGCTCTTCCTAATGGATATCCTGTACGAGTGGTAAATTTCTAAAGAAAACCATGAGACCCTAAAAACATTGAGGGGGACTCATCTTCAACATTAGCATAAAAGACACAAGCCAGTCTCAGATGGGGGAGTGGCATGTTAATATTTTGAGTAGCAGTTTAGGCGATTGCAAGTGAGGAAATGCATAGGGAAAGATGAGATCATTCTTCGATGCCTGTTCTTGACTCCTTGCCTAGAATTGAAAAGGAATATTCTTTAGAGTGATCGTTGAAAACTAACAAGTTTTACTTATATAGGGAGAGATTCAAAAGATAAATTCTTTAGTGCATTCAGATCCTTTTTTTCTTGTGTGATTGCTGTTGAGTTATAATTAATTATATAAAATAAATTTTCTTGTGAACAAAAAGGGTAGACAATCTCATTTTAAAAAGCTGCTTTCGGGCCGGCCCGGTGGCGCACTGCTACAGTGCGCCACTTGGGAGCGCGGCAGCGCTCCCTCCGAGGGTTCGGATCCCACATACAGACCGGCCGCTCACTGGCTGAGCGAGGTGCGGACGCGACACCGAGGGTTGCGATCCCGTTGCTGGTCCCGGTCCGGTACAGGCGCGACACTGAGGATTGCGATCCGTTGCCGGACACGAAAAAAGACAAAAAGGAAAAAAAAGCTGCTTTCCTCTGAGTTAAAATTCAGAAGTAATTATAGATTAGGTGTATACAATATTTCTCCTTTTCAATGTTAGAAAACTCTTTAAGTTTTTATTATATGCGACTGCTTTTGATTTAACTTAGCATTTAAAAAAAATTATTATAAGGACTAAATATTATCTAAATCAGTGATCCCAGAGTTGCCTACAGTGACGTGAAAGATGAATTGGTTCTTACGCTTAAACTAGGGAAGTAAGCAGACAAGCAAATGTTTAAAAATAAGGCTTAAAATAGAAGTTCATTTGAATTAGGCTTAGTATTTGAAGTCTCTGTTCTGGAAGCCTAAAAAGGAGGCTTATGTTGTAACTATTATTTTAACCAGGTATTGCCTTACACAACAAGTTTACATCCTGATTAGTATGAAAGGGTGGTCATTGGGCTTCAGACAGCTTTTGGTCATTGAGCTCATTAATGATGTAATATAGATAGGGATGACTACTTCAGCCTCATCCTTGAATACTGAGAAGATCAGGACTCCTTTGACACTAGGCTAGTAAACAGTTTTTGTCAGGAATATTAAGTGTGAGTTAGCATTTCCACTTTCATTTGTAAGTTTGCTTGGAGGGCAGCATCTTGTGCCCGATGGCATTTTGCCATTGATTTGATTTGGGCCAGAGAGTGCCCTCTCCTGGCCAAGGCTGATGTGTCTACATGGCTCTCGTTTGTTTTCCTTTAATACCAAAGCTTCGCATTCTGTGAAGCCAGCAAGTTATCCAGAATAAATTCATTATGGAAATTCAGCTGGATTTTGGTCTTATTTTTAAATTATTTTTTTGGTAAAATAGATTAAAAAGAACTCAAATGACTGCTTTTTGTTAACTTGGTTTTTTCTACCATAGGTCTCAACAAATGGCAGCTATTACATCAGACAGTGACGAGTCCTGCTGCTCCCTTACAGTGTCTGACAGACCACTGTGGATTCAGACTGGGAGCATTGAAGTTAACAGTGAAACGGGCAGGTCTGTCTGTTTTAAGCCCTGCCACAAAGTGAAGAGGGCATCATGTCATCACTTGATCACTCCTGAAGTAGATTAGGCTAGACTTGAAAGAACTCATTAGTTCTTCTTTAGTTTTCATTGACCTTCATAGCTGGGTGTATACATCATGTAGGTGATAGTTTTAAATGAGTGAAAATAACTTTCAATTGACATTACCTACCTTGCTAAAAAAAAAAGTAGAGCCTCCTGTGAACTTCTGTGAATTGAGAGCAGTTTCTCCTACGGTGGTGGAAGTTGGGTGTTGTGTTGCTGAATTATGTCAAATAGCAACTGAGTCCATGAAAAGTCAAATGCTGGATTTCTTTCTTTTCACTATCTCAATCTCTTTGTCACTTTTATATTCATTACTTCTTAGACAGTCATTTTTACTGCATATATAAAGAATATATATATATATATATATATATATATATGAACATATATATTCTTAGTGAGTTAATCTCAAAGCCATGGTCATTTATATAGGGCAAGTCGGAATGCCAGAGGGTGGTAAAAGATAATGCTGAAATGTAATTGTAATCTGTTTCTTTAAGCACACTTATAAATGACTCCTTGGATAATGCCTAAAAGGCCTATTTTGGGCTCTTAAACAGTAGGAAAGGTTTTGGGATAGTTTTTGTTGTGCTGCTTTTAAACTTACTGTCCTTTATTACTTCTTTGAATTAAGGCTATTTAACTGGGATTTGTGCAGTTAGTGAAGAGCTGTATAGTAGCATATAAACGGTAATTTGCAAGTTGCAACCTGGGTCAGAATGGCACATTTTGCATCAGAGATTGTGGCTGGGATTTTGGACATTTTATAGGGATGGTTGTTACCCTAAAGGTGATCTCTTGAGGGAATAGTGTTTTTTAGTTTTCGGCACCTCTCATAGGAATAGTAAGATCTGCTTGAATCCTTGACTTTCCTGCCCTAGTCATCAATGAACTTGAATTAGGTCTCACTAGGGTTGAAGCCAAATATTGAGAGTCATAAATAGCAGGAAATGGAATTGTACACGGGGTTGGCTGTTTACTTTTTTTTCTCTTTCACTTTATAAAATGGGAACGTTTGCTTCCAAAATGGTGTGAGTCTAAGTGTATTAGTATTACAATCATATTAGTATAATAACTTAGTTTTAGGAAGTAAAAACTTTCCATAGCTCAGTGTCAAATTTTAAAACAAAGTTAATCATTCTGTTTCTTCAGAAACAAGGACTTGGAAAAAAAAAAAAGAAACAAGGACTCCACCTTCCATCTTGGTGTGTGCAATATTTATGACCAGAAGTCATTTTTAATTGCTTGAGAAAGATACATGATCGAGTGCCCTGTTAAATTTATTGTATAGGCCTTGATCGAGTAAGCAAATGAAGCATGGCAACACTGGGAAAGTTACATAAAATCAAGAGTTCTGTCAGATCATGGGAAACACACCTACTTTGAAATGTTTGGAAGCTAAATGTTGGGAAGGATGGTATGGTTTTTCTTTTTTCCTTTTTGCATCCTTTGTTTCGTCTGTTATTATTCCGCTGAAATACCATATCTTTGGTTTAAAAATTCATTTGACCAAAAATAACATCTTTCTTTCCACGGATCACCTCTTTCTGAATTCAAACTCTTATTGGTACTTTGGCTGCAAGGCTTGAAAGGCATAACCCGGAATTGTAAAGGGTTTTAGTGGGATTCTTACTACTTTGTGGTATTAGAGAGAGGTTGGTAATGTTGGGAGTTGTGGTCATATTACTTGGCAGTAATTTTTATAAGCCTTGCCCTTTATAAATGTTATGTTTGGAGTCCTGTTCTTTATTGGAAGTATGGTAAAGAATCTATCTGCTTGATACTTAGGTTTGCTGGTGTAACAAGAGACACTATGATCAAGTTGTCTTTCAGTATCAAAATCATGCTCTTAATGCCTTCTGATGTGCTGTGTCTTCCTCGGGGGAGGCACTTTCCATTCTCCTCTTTTTTGCTCTTTGCACATATGTAGACAGTGTGATCTGCAGCTGATTTTTACATAGTCTGATTCTGTATATATATTCACTTCTTAAGACTGTAGGCTAGCCTGTGTTAGAGGAAGGCTGCTGGGTGTTTCATAGTAGTCCACCATGGCTAAACTGACTCTCAAAGTTTGGTATTGTTACCTATGAAATGGCAGCATAAAACACAACAAAGTTAAAATTCCCCTGTTATTAGGCAAGTATTCATAAGCAAGTATTTTTTTTTTTTTTTAAACACTCAAGTGGAGATTGTGTGAAGGTGATAGTCATTATTTTGCTTATGTTGGAATTTGGCCAGATATACTTCAGCAATAACATGAGTGTTTTTGATTTGCAGTGGAGAAAGTTGTTCTCTCAAAACATTGGTTAAGTTTAACTAATTTAAAAGAAAAATAAGGTGTGATCCCACAATCTACGAGGGCTTAATTTAAACAATGAGGACTTCATTTTTCTCATATAATTACTTGTGCTTAACTACATTTTCTTCCTTTTCTTTACTATATTTCAGCACAAAGACATTAGCAGGCTGCTGGTTTCATGGACCTGTACCACAATGACACAGAGAACACCAGAGCATCAGGACTGAATGAAATTGGAGATTTTTAAAGCTGCACTAAGAAGTAAATGTTAAGGCAGTGATTAAAACCAACAGTCTACAAAGGGGCACTTGGAAATTGTGCTATATTAAACTGAAGAAAAGGTATTAGGGAATATTTTATAAGAAATAAACTATTGCAATAAATTATGCATGAGATGAGGAGAAAAGTGATATGAAATACACATACAAAAAGCTCACTTGAATTTTATGTATGAAGAATCACTGACAGTAACTTCTTTTGAATGTGAAGTTCTTACCATTATGGTTTGGACAGGCCTAAGACGCATAGGTTGATGCAGAAGTGTTGAATTATTTTTCATACTTAAACTTTGTGCTTTCTCCAAAGTTTGTTAATCAGTTCAGATATGAGAAAATGTGTTTCAGAAATGGCTCTCCTCTGAAACAGCAATAGTCATATATGCCAAGGCCAATGTTTCCTTCACGGTGCCAGCAGAAACAGCAAAAGATTATGTAACATCCTGCTGAAAGGATGGCAAAGTGCCCCACCCCACCCCACCAACAAAATTTGGATCTTTTCTTTCTTTAATAAAGCAGGGCTGTATTATCTTGAATATATGTTTGCTCGTTAGAACATTAAGATGTATTTATTTGCCACTAGTATTTAACATTTTGTGCACATTTTCATAACTACATTCTTACCTTTCGCATTTTGACTCAAAGTGGATAGGCTAGTGTTGATCTTGGAGTGAAAACACACTTCAAGAACTAGTTCTTAATTCTACCGAGCTGGAAAGGCTTTTATTATTGTCTCTATCCTTACTGATTTTATCAAGTTCAGAAAAGGTGACAACATCTGAATTTTGATGCGGACCTTTTTCTATGGAGAGCCTCTTCTTCTAAGTGCAAGAAATTCTCACAGGTGTCAGCTAGCACTTGGCCCTGGGGGACAAGCAGCAGGAACAGATCCATAGACAACATCAAACTTTTCATGCATGGAGCATGAATTCTTATTAATAGAGGCTGTAATTTTTTTCTTGTCTTTGGTAAATACATATTAAGAAAAACCTTAATTTCTCTTTTTTAATGAATGGAGAAAACATGAGAAAACCGGATGGACATGTTAGTACTACATTTTTAAGGCATTTTATATTTGATGGTGCCATACTTTTAATAATAATAAAACAAGTTTTTTAGTGGCAATACTGATTTATTTTTTAAACAAGAAATATATCCATATTGATTACTTATTACAAAAAAAACAAAGGAAAAAAATGCCAAAAAATAAAAAGACGCAAAATTCATTTGAAGCAACAGAACAGATAACTGAGCACTTGGCTCAAGTGTTCAAACTTTCCATAATCTTACTCTGTAGGTTTAGAATTACCTAATAACCCCACCCATGCTCAGGATAAACAAAAGGTTCTAGGTGAGAGTTTTAGAATATTTAATATACCTGACTATGATTTGTTTTATTACAACTCAAGAAGAATAGTCAGGCAGTCTTGAGTCCAGTGAGCTTAATGCAAATCATAATTATACTGCAAGTAATTAAAAGTTTTGACCACATTCTAAAATTGTCTTTTTGGAAAATTCTCTATCATGAAGACATTACATATTTTATACAATCAAATAGCTCAGGAACTGTAGCAGCAGGGAGTTCTAAAGATGACATGTACTAGAGGGCACCCTACTCTGTGTGGCCCTGAGGCTGTGGCTTGGGTCAGTCTTGTTCTTTCAGATACATAACATGAGCACTACCTTTCAGGCTTACTTCGAGAACCAGATAACTCCCAAGCCATGGTGGAATTACACATGGATTGTATAATCAAAATTTTTAATTAGGCTTTAGAATTTTTTATTTATATAGAGTGATGGAAATGACCAAGAAGTAATAATATAAAGGCAAACGAATTGGGAGAGATCAGGTTTTAAGTATCTAAATATTTTTTTCTCATGACATTCTCAAAGGTGTTTTGTTAAAACCAGATTTCCATTTTTTAAAAAATGAGACTTGGTGGTATTTAAAATCTAGACCTACCATGTTGCTATTTCACTTTCATTGCTTTAGTTGCTTAATATTTAAGCTTTGCTTCATGCTACCTTTTGTCTGTATTTCAGTCTTCACAAGCCTATTTTGTTTTGTTGACTTGAATGATAAAAGTTGTTTCTGAGTTAAATGTTAAAGAATGTTGTGTAACATTTATCCCAATAAAGTCTTTGATTTTTTAAAAATTTAGTTATTTTAAAACTATGCTTACTTTTTAGGAGTTTGTTTTTAAAGATTATTATTTTTTTATCTATTAAAATTTAATCACTAGTTGATCTTTAGGGAGTTGTTTTGAGTAGCAATGCTTCCTAAGGAGATCAGCCAGTAGGTTTCTAATCACTAGGAGACTTTGTGGTACCTTTTTATGACCAAGGATAGAGAAAAGATGAGTAGTTTAATTAGGACCCTGTGCACAAACATAACCTTTTCTGATGGAAACAACTCACCCTTCGGAGTTGGATGTAATTAAACATCTACTGGTGTGTTTGTTTTGTTTTAATTTTAAGGAGTCCTGTCCTTATGGGTAAATGGTTGCTTCTTTAAAAGCCCAACATGTCTGATGTGAGATCAAGTGTTCTGAGAACCAGAAACACTTGTTTATCAAGAAAAAAATTAGCCTCTTAAAACCTACCAGACATTGAATGTTTTCAGGACTGACCAAGAAGTGTAGGTCAGTGTACTTTTTTTTTTTTCCATTTCAGGAAAGCAGACCTTTAGAAGGCTGCCTGTTATTCCAGAGTATACACGGAGTCTTTAATCTCAAACATTCTCCGATTTTAGTTTGTCTAAATGAGTATAAAAAGGCCACTGGAATCTGGCTCTGTTAATCTTTTTCTCAAGTTTCTCACTAATGAAAATGGAACTAGAGAGAACCAAGGTAAACAAGCCATGTGCTCATTATCTGGGAAGTCCTACACGAGACCTGATCGTGTGTACATATGTTGGTGTAATTATAGATACAACTGCTACAAGAGACAAGGGAATGAGTGATGAAACACATAGTTGCAATTTAAAATCTTATTGATGCTGGTCTTCAGATAAGGAAGTGTAAGTTCATTTTTCCTCTTTCAAGTTAAGATTCTTTTCTCAGTGCTTTGAATAAAGCATACTTTTATTTATTTATTTATTTTTGACCGGTAAGGGGATCTCAACCCTTGGCACGGTGTGGTCTGCACCACGCTCCACCAGTGAGCACACCGGCCATCTATATAGGATCCGAACCCGCGGCCTTGGCGCTATCAGCACCGCACTCTACTGAATGAGCCACGGGGCCGGCCCGGATCTCAACCCTTGGCACGGTGTGGTCTGCACCACGCTCCACCAGTGAGCACACCGGCCATCTATATAGGATCTGAACCCGCGGCCTTGGCGCTATCAGCACCGCACTCTACTGAATGAGCCACGGGGCCGGCCCGAATAAAGCATACTTTTAGTTGTTTTTTTGTGTGTGTGGCTAGTTGGTACAGGGATCAGAACACTTCACCTTAAGTGTTTTTTGAGCATACTTTTCTCTAGTGATGATTGTCCTGCCAAATTTTTGCTTATTCAAAATGAAATTTCATGGCGTTTAACAACAACTCCTTTGCTTTGGTGTCAAGAAGGTAATGAACCTGGGGCGAAGGAGAGTAGGATTCAGGAATACTGAGACAGGAAGAAAGAGCTGGCCAAGCACAGTGTTCAGGTCATTGTCTTTAAGGGTACTTCTAGCATTAGTCCTTTTGTGTTTCCTTGTGATGCTAGTTTGTAGAAGCAAGCTTCTAACATAAGGGAGGATAAGTTGGTGATGGTAAAAGAGAAATGTTTTTATATGAATAACCTGCCACAGCCTAAGAGGTAGGAGACACGGATTCTAAGTTCCGTCAGTGACCTTTTGATAGCAAAATCACACAGTAGCTTCACTGGCTAAACTGGGATGTGCAAATTCAGTTTCTCATTTACCAAGCTCTTCAGTTCCTACTCAGCCAAGGACAAAAACACTGGGGAGACATCAGAAAAAAAAATTTTTTAATAGAAATATTCTGTAATCCATTGTTTCTAAATTCTAAGCTCAGTGCCTAATCCTCTGGATTCTTAGTAAACAGCTCAAAACTTGTGTGGCCTTCTAAATATTGTGAACTATAACAGCAATGTGAAGTGCCTTGAGGTTAAAGGGGAGCCTGATGTGTCATTGCCCCAGAAAAGCACAGCCAGAGCCTTCAGTAAGACACAAAACAGCATTACAGAAGACAGTGATGGGTTTGATCCGTCACATGTTTAAATGCAGCTTTAACACCTGTAGAAAATCAGGCTGGACAAGGTTTTGTGGCACAAACTATAATCCCTGGCTTTTGATGCTGACTCTGTCAATGGAAGAATCCAAAGTGTCACACTGCCCTAGGAAACTATCACACCTTTTCTCCCAATTAAGTTCATGAGGTATAGCTGCAAACTATAGTTTGGGGCAATCAAGCCACCCCTACAAAACAGTCTTATGTACTTGAGACCAAGTACCAGATATAGCCTGCCAAAGCCTATATCCTTCAATGTCTAAATACTGTTCTCTCCATGTCACTGTTCCTTTACTTCCCATCCCTGCCTTCCCTGAGGACTCCTGTCTGTAGTTGGCTTAAAGAATTTCAGGTTTGGGGATTTCTGACTGAGTTGGAGGCACCAACTGGAAGCTGTGTGCCTGTGTGCTCAGGTGGCATGTGGTGCTGCCTCATGTGAGTCCAGGTGGATGTATGATGTAGACAGCAGTCTGGTACTGCACACTGCAGAGGGACAATGAGATTCCAATGTCTTCAGATCCAACTCTTCACATCTGGAACTAAGGGTTTCCCAAAACTGGGTTGGTTCCTTCATATCTGTCATGACAGCAGATGGCCGATGAGCCCAGTGCCTGATAGCAGTTCCCATCTTGGTAGGCCATATTATTCAGCAAGCTAGAAGTAGCAGCTGGGACTGACAGGAATGCTGACTAGCTGACACTGGGACACTGCCACAAATTGTTGTGGGCTTCTTTGGCAATGAGGCAGCAGGCTCTGCCATGTCTTGGTACAGGGGGAAAATGAGAGTTTCCAGTTTTCCCTTCAGTGAAAGGAAAAGAAGGTAAGGAGTCATACCTTTAGTTCTGGCTGACAGCTTAACTTTTGTATGATGGAGCTTATTCCTAGCTTGGAGACCTCAGAGGGTTGGGAAGTTAGAAGAAAACTTTATTTTTTATTATAGAATATCTCAAGTATTTGTAAAAGTAGACTAACAACCCCTTGTGTCCCCATTCCTAGCTTCAACGATTACCAACTTGTGGCCAGGAAAACTGGAATATTTGATGCTTTGAAATATAAAAATAGAGGACAACCTCACTAGTTTTCATAAAGTAATTTTGTCATTAGTTTCTTTGATTACCCCTTGAAAGGATTTAAGCAGTTGTTCTGATGCTCTGTTATTTTAGCCCTGCCTCTTGGGCTGGCTGGTAGCAAATATCCATTTTTCATTTTCAGGAGCATTAATGGGCTCTTGGTCTAGTGTGTGCTCAGGACAGCTCTACACACAGCCGAAGGAGGTGACTAGAAACAATTGCCTCCTGTCCCTGTACGGCTTTTTGTTTGTTTGTTTTTTCAAAAGATGACCGGTAAGGGGATCTTAACCCTTGACTTGGTGTTGTCAGCACCACGCTCTCCCAAGTGAACAACCGGCCATCCCTATATAGGGATCCGAACCCGTAGCCTTGGTGTTATCAGCACCGCACTCTCCCAAGTGAGCCATGGGCCAGGCCTGTGAGGCCAGGGTTCGATCCCTGTTATTGGCCAGCCGTCAAAAAACCCAAAAATCCTGTTGTTGTTAGTGAGCCCACCTCTTGTAGAATGTCCTTGAACACCAATTTACTAAGTCTCTAGTACACCAGTAGGTGGTGGTGCTATTAAGAATATAAATATGGTCTTTTCTTTCTAGAAAATCATGGTCTACTCATGGAGGCAGCAAGGGAAACAACAGATCATAGTATTTTAAGGAATGTGTCTCAGTCTTCAAGGCAATTCTAAAAGGAGATCGAAAATTATTTTGATCCACTGCAATACTGTTGAAATAAGAACATATACAATGTCACAATGTGATTACCTTAAAAATAAATTCTGGTATACTTTTTTTGGTGGGGGGAGGAAGACATCACATAACTTTAAAATTCTACATCTTAGCAGCAGGAGTCGAATGCAGGCCACCTTCCTCCCTTACACACTTCCTACTTTGAACGCTTTTAGGATTTTTCTATGGTCAAACATTTCCAAAAGGTTTGAATCTATCTTTTCTTCCAGATTTTGGAAGCAGAGAAGTAACAGTGATAGAAAAAAACTCCTTGGCCTAAGCAAACTCACACCTATGGAGATCCTTTCCTTTCCTTTCCAGAAGCACTGCTTGGCCAGTCACTGGAAACATGTAGTGTTGGCCTTGGTTGCCTTCCTATAAGATTTCAGTGTGGCGGAGGAAGAGGAGAAGGAAAAAGAGAGAAGGAAGGGGGAAGCCTAAGAAGCAAAACCTCTACATCCTGCAGCAATGGTAGTCCTGAGCATCTTCTCCTAATGAAGGGTGTTTAGGCAAACAAATTTACATTCTGTTCCTTGGAGGCACAAATAGTCTTTTAGGAATCTCAGCTCTGACCTTTGCTTAGTCTCAGCCATTGAGCTCAAAAGTCGTAATCTGACAAAGCAGTTCTCGAAATATATTCCAAGGCTCCCCAGGGGTTCCCAAGATCTTTCAGGTATCCATGAGGTCAAAACTATTTTCATAATCCTAAGGGGCTATTTGCTATTCACTGTCAGTTATCCTGAGTATGCAGTAGAATTTTCCAAAGACATGAATGTGTGATACCACGACAAACTGAGTATAGGAGATGTGAGAATCTTGCTGTCTTCTATCTAGACACATATAAAAGAGACTTGCAAAAATGTAAAATGTTGTCACTGTCTTTGTTTTGGACGATATTTTTCACGAAAGTAATGTTTATATTAACACGAAATGTTTGTTATTTACACGACCTAACTAAATATTTTAAAATATTTTTAATATGGTGAATATGAATAGCTAGAATCCACATAAATGGAAATGCTCTTTAAACTCTTTTCAAGAGTGTGAAGGCGTCCTGAAATCAGAAAGTTTGAGAACCACTGCTCTGGCATAATGCTGGCTGCATAGGAAGCACAGAACACTCACTGCCATATGGCTTTCAGCCAAGGTTTCTGCACATCTTGTATGATTTTTCACAGAGACCTTTTTGGGAAAATTGGATGACAAATTTCACATAAAATTAGCAAAGCAAAATTAACCACTTTCCCCCCTCTCTCCTTCCCCTTGTAAACTCCATGAATAATTATGTTTCAATCTGGGAGACAGATTTGGCACATCACAAAGAAGCACTGCATATCACTGCTCTATCAATATACTGTAAGGGACTTTTAGGAACAGATCAAAGTTCCAGCAAAGTCCTTAACATGTGGAGTGTGACAACTGCATGTCACAGAATTATACATGTAACTCATTCCCAAGAAGAAACAAGTACGTCGCTGCTTTTGACACTCAAACCAGAACTGAAAGCTTTTCACTAGCATCAACTGATGACCAGAAAAAAAAATCTATCTTTGAAGCCTCCAGGTTTACGTCGTCTAAAAGCATATGGTTTTGTTTTGGGATTCACATACCACTATTCTTGATGAAGCTATTTTAGTTGAAATTATTAAGATTAATGCTTGGTCAAAAGCACGGATTTCATAATTATCTCCACAAATGTGGAAGGGCCCAAGCCAGCTCATGAGATGGAGTTTCAGAATTTTAGTACATGATAGAACGGTCAACTCTTCAAGATAAATCTTCAAAGTGGCACCACAAATGTGGAAGGGCCCAAGCCAGCTCATGAGATGGTTTCAGAATTTTAGTACATGATAGAACGGTCAACTCTTCAAGATAAATCTTCAAAGTGGCAATGAAAACTTTGGACATATTTGTGGAATTCAGAATCAATAACCCTCCTTGAAACCAATATTACTCCTAAAATCAGAGGTATTCTGCTTTAGCTGTTACGGGAACAAAATTTACAACCTAGCCCAGACCATCACAGAAAGCCTTTATTACCACAGAGGAAATCGGGAAATGCTGGAGACCACGCATGGTAGCCTTGTTAGCATGTATGATTAGGGAGGGGGACGGCAGGCAGGAATCCCATCAGTCATGTCTGGGCAGTCTCCCAACAGATTTGTTCGGTTCAAGAACGGCTTTTGCTGGGCTTGTGTGTTTGTGTGGCTAAGGGAGGTCAGCCTTGATAAGCAGGCTTCCTCCTGAACAAAGGACAGCCAGAACCAGGGATAACAGCTGCACAGACACAACCTTAAAATGTAAATCAAATTAGGCTCATTACATGAGGAAGTACATTCCACCCTGATCATAAAACAAGAGGGAAAGGGGAGCACTAGGCTCTACTGGATAGCCTTTCTTTTGGATAAGATGCTTTTAAAAGTTAAACACTGCCAGGGCCTTTCCCCTTGCTAACAGCAAGCAGCACACAATTTCCAAGTCAGCTTTTAAAGTGATTGTTATCTTTGTTATCTGTTGTTATTTGGATTTTGAACGAAATTGATGGAGTAAGAGCCAGTAGAGGAATCCTGTTTGATCTGGAAATTTTCTGTGGAGAGCCCAAAAGGCCGGAGAACCAAGTTCCCAAGATCTTTTAGTTTACCTGCAATGTAAAAGCAAAAACTCAAATGAATAGAGGAACGAACAGAAGCAGGAAGGTTGATCTTGCCTTACTATCTGATTATATGATATAAACAGTATCTTTCTGCAGTTACAGAAATGCCTGCTTTTAATAATATGAAACCTTCCAGGAGAGTTCCCAGCCCCTATGCCCTACTCAACGACACTGTCACTTCAATGCCACCCACCCCCGAGACTGTGCTTGCACACATGAGAGTGAGGGAGTCCTGCTGGCTCCCTCTGGGAGATCAAAGCCTCCCTTCCAAACTGGCCACAACTACCACAGGGCACAGGCTTCTGGGGTGAGTGCTGGGAAGATCAGCTGCTGCTCACGGTGGGGCTGAAGGCTCCCCGCCAAGCCTCATCTGTGAGGGCAGAGGTCCACCCAACAAGTCTGTTGTCTATAAAACAGCAGCAGCCACTTGCTAAATTTAATTCAACTCAGCTAGTTTCTACTGAGCCTGGATTCAGACTCCAGAGTCTCCTACTGTTCTAAGCAGATCCTTAGCTTTGCAGCAAACTCATCATTTTTTGAGACACAGGATCTTGTTCACTTTCAGTGCCATCAACTAGTCCAGTTTCCTTCCCAAGTTTCAGGCTTTACATATTAATCACTTGGGTGATCTCATGTTCTAAAGTCAAAACACGATATATAACCAAGGATTCTTATGCAATAATTTTTAGATACTAGAGGGCCATGGAGTTTTTATGTCAAAAGCTGGAATTTCCAGGACATTTCAGAGATTTATAGGGATTTATGGGGCAAAGGATGGAATATTTAAAAGTAAGACTGTGTGGAAAATCTTGGCTGGGATGGGCAAATAAACAGTTTCAACCCTTCCAAACTGTTTTAATTTTTCTTGAAGGTCTTTTTCCAATGGAGATGAGAACAGGGGTAGATGAGAAGAGAAACCCCTAATCATCAGAGGCACAGGTTCCTTCCCACCTTCCCACGTGTTAGCAGCTTGTGTCACTTGGAGGCCTACCACCTTAGAGTAAAGCCCAGGTAAAGGACTTAAAGATGCATGATCTTTAAATTTTTTTTTTTTTTTTTGTCTTTTTTCGTGTCCGGCAACGGATCGCAACCCTCAGTGTTGCGCCCGTACCAGACCGGGACCGGCAACAGGATCGCAACCCTCGGCGTTGCGCCCGCACCTCACTCAGCCAGTGAGTGGGAACCGGTCTGTATGTGGGATCCGAACCCTCGGCGGGAGCGCCGCTGCGCTCCCAAGCAGCGCACTGCAGCAGTGCACCACTGGGCCGGCCCATGATCTTTAAATTTTAAAGGCCTTCCTAATAACTCATAGTGATAACTTTTGGTTTCAGTTCAGCCCACGGACACTCTCTGTGTTCAGAGAAAGGCCAACATGATCTTTAAATTTTAAAGGCCTTCCTAATAACTCACAGTGATAACTTTTGGTTTCAGTTCAGCCCACGGACACTCTCTGTGTTCAGAGAAAGGCCAACCCATTCTTGGACAAAACATTAATAGAGAAAGTGCCCAGAACTCGGCATGAAAATTCTCCAGGCAGGTTTCCCAAACTTAAACCCAGGACACGCATACTCAGTGCTGCTGTCTGGGGAGAATCAGTGGCACAAATCTTGGTTGTCTGCACACAGGAGCAGCACACACAGGCTAGAGCACAGCCCCAGGTAGATGGAAGACTGGAAGGGTATCACAAAAAGCAAAGACAAGACAGGGCATCCTCAGGAAAACTTGAGGTAGCAACCCTGACCCAGAACTTTGGCAGTCTGTCTGAGGGTTGAGAAAAGAGCACAGGGAGGAAAAAAACATTTAAAGAAGCCCAATAAAATGTCACTGCTGGGACTATCCTTGGCTCTTGTGACATGGATCGAAGGAACTAAGAATGAATCTCATATCAGACTCCAAGGAGGGCAGTTCCATCTTGGAGAAGCCTCTATTCAAGGGCCACTCTGGACTGTCAACTGGGCCACTACCTGGATGGAGGAGGGATCATTGTAAGCCCATCCATCCCAAGTGCCAGAAACACCATTTAAAGTACAAATTGTACATTTTACAAAGCATCTACTATGTGAGGCACTGGGATCTAAAGAATAAAAGTCATTTCAGCTTTTGAGATGCTCTAGTGCGGAGACAAACACAGAAGACTGAGGTATGCCCAGAGGAGGTGCTTGCAGACCTTGCGGGAGCTGAGGAAGCCTATTCAGGAGAGGCCACGTGCTGCAGTGCTCTGAAGGATGGTGAGCAGCTCTAGCATGATGGCGTGCCACCATGCTCCAGAGATGGCAGTGTCATCAGGCAGCAGTGGCCTGGCTTTAGGCTGCTGTGCGCTAAAGGAAGAGTTTTCTCAAGTGCAAGACAACTGTTACAAGCTAGGAGCACAAGTATTCAAATTGAAACTACAATCAGCAGTCATACAGTAATAAGTATTATACCAGATTCTGGGGGTGAATGACGAAGGGATCTCATATTCCTGTCAGGAAGCAAGTCATCTCAAAAGCATTTATTAAATAATGTGATATAAACTGAGAAAGAGACATGTAAACAGATTTCTAGCTTTCTTTCTCTGATTTCCTTTTCAACACTTCCACTCTTATGTCCAATTTGACATTTGGAGCAAAACTTCCCATTCCCTTTCTTGACTCTTGACTTATGTGAGCGGTCACCCCGGGTCCCCATCCCAATAAATGCCACCATCTTCCCTGAATTATCCTCTCAATTTATTTGGAGATGACATGTACTATTCCTATTTCATTAGTAGTTATCCATAAAACTGTAACAGCCATACTTCTCTAAGTCTAAAGTCAGTCAACATCTCCATCATCCTGTTAAATGATACACAGATATTAGGACATTTAGATTTTAACTCCGTGAGCAAGGGCCTTGTTTATTGCTCGTGGTGGATCCTAGCATCTTCACCAGGTTCTCAACAAATATTACTTGAGTGAGTGGAATACTAGAACCAGAATTTCTCATTGGCAGGTGGACTTCAGATGTGTAAACTCTAATTACTCAAACCAAAATTTATGTATCTATTATGTATGAGACAGTTAGTCATGGAATGTGGCAGCTTTGTCTTCCTGAGCCCAAATCATTTTTTTCCTTTTCTTTACTCAAAAGGAAGTTCAGTGTCTTTGTAAATGAAAATAAAAAGTACTCTCTTTTTGGACTGAAGTACCTCTCAAGTGTGAAATAAGATCCTTAGCAGGAAGATCTGTACACTTCACAATAATTTATTCCACAATAAATAAAAATATTTGGGCAGGAAAAACAAAAAACAAGGGGGGAAGGGATTAAAAAAAACAACAAAAAACCACCAAAGCATTCAAACTGCAGACAAGGGGTGAAAATAAAAAGTACTCTCTTTTTGGACTGAAGTACCTCTCAAGTGTGAAATAAGATCCTTAGCAGGAAGATCTGTACACTTCACAATAATTTATTCCACAATAAATAAAAATATTTGGGCAGGAAAAACAAAAAACAAGGGGGGAAGGGATTAAAAAAAACAACAAAAAACCACCAAAGCATTCAAACTGCAGACAAGGGGAAGAATTCTCTTTTGCAGGCCCTCACTTTGCCTCACTGGCTGAAGAACCTATCTGCCACAAGAAACCTTTAAACTTTTAGCTTGGTTGATTCTATGGCGTGGCAGTCATGAAAATGTGCTTTTCCAAATGCAGGGGACATAGTGGCTACACTCTGAAATCTATCAGCATGTTTGTGCCGGGGCCAGCTTCCCCATGGGCTGCTCCCAGCCAATGCCCGAGCATGGTAGAGACAGACCAGGAACTCCACTGATGGGCAACTTTGGCTCCACAATGGCTTTGCTGAAACTTTCTCAGCACTGCACTGCAGTGCATGACTCTTCCTCCCCACCCTCCCTTCCTCCTCCACAGGGGTCTGACAGCTCTGCCAGCCTCCTTCCACCTCCCACCACATTGTTCCTTGCAGGCGTTTCCCCAATAAATCTCTTGTACTTCTAATCCTATCTTGGCTTCTGTTTTTCAGAGGACCCAACCTAACAGATGCTATCGTTCTCTTTCCTTCTATTCCAATATCTCTTTTCTTTGTAACATTCCAAAAGAGTTTCACCAACTATCACTTCCACAATAGTAGAACAGAAAATGGGCAGTTCTGCTTGCTAAATGAGAATGTGTATGAATTATCTGGCAGACAGCAGACACCTAATAAAAATGCATGATTAAATAGTCTCCATGTTAGAGAAGACCTGAGGCCTCCTGACTTGAAGTAATTAAATCAACATGTACTAAGTGCCCGAGAGTGGCACCTTGCTCTATGAAGTGGGGCTGAGAAGATGTATGACATGGTCTGTACACCAAAATACGTTTAGAATGTGATGGGTAAGATAAGACATATGCATAAAAGCAAGTTCATATGTAGCTGAGATATAAAATGCTACGAGAGCCAGTGAGAGGAAGATTCTTTCCAGCTTTGGCAGGGAGGGGAGGAGAGGAGATCTGGCCACTCTTTGTGTCCAAGGGGGAGGGTGCTTCTCGCCAGGCTCCTGAGCCAGACCCAGGGGCCTGTGCTTCTTGTGCCACAGGAGTGCTACTGATGGCTTGAGAACTGAGCTTTCAGTATTAATAATCCTGTGACAAAGTAAAGAATGAACCAAAAGCAGAGAGCCTGGGGGTGGTTCTGACAGAAAGTTGGTACAACATTATGGGAAAGAGGCCATTTACTCACTGAACAAACATTTGAGTGTCTATGATGCTGGGTAAAGAGGCTCTGAAACCAGAGTGTAGCCAGTGGGAACATAAAGGAACAGAACAAAACAGTACAGTAGAATCAACAAGTTTCTGGTGTCTGAAATATTCACCTTTTGCTGTTTATAATGATAGCAGAGAAGCAGCAGCCTTTACTGGAGACCATGCTCCTAAATATACACACAATCACACACACACAAATTTTCCTGCCTGCTGTTTAGTCAGGTTGGGTGCTCAGAGATTAAAGCAGCTTTTTTGTACCCAAAATAAGAT